ACCTGCTCCTGTCTCTTCCTTTGCCTGGCTCTCACTGGCTAGAGCCCCATACCTGTTTTGCAAGGGCAATAGGGCAGGTGAGGGAGGCAGAGCAGGGCTTTTCCTTCCTCTTCTGGCAGGCACCTGCTTCCACTCTTCCCCATCCTTTAGCTCCAGTTGTTTTGCTTGATGATCACAGGGGAGGGGGTTTTCCACTTCTCGTGGAGCTTGCCGCTTACTATTCAGGAAGGAATTCCACCAATCTATTTCTCTCTCAGACTCCCTGATAGTCCTCAGCCTTGCTACTTCATCCTTCAGCTCAGCCACCAGGCAAAGCAGGTAGTTCACCTGGTCACATCTGACACAGGTGTCGTCACCACTACCCTCCATTGCAAGCGTCAGGCTGCAGCACTCTCTGCAGCCCGAGGCCTGAACACCCACACGCTTGCATGGGGCCTCTGTCTGGGTGCCCACAGTTTTTCTAACGACCTTTGATTGGTATACAACCATAGTTGGTTCAGCAATCAGGAGACCTGTTCAGCAAACAGGAGAGCTGTTGCTGTTCTCAGGGCTGAACACTAAGATGTAGCCTGTAAACTGAATTTACAGCTGCATGATTTCTTTTGTGAGTTCAGAGCCATATTTCTTCCTAGTGGGTCTCAGCTGGAATTGAAGCACTGCCTTGGCGCATCAAGGTGGAAGATTTCAGTGAAAAACTCAAGACAGGATCACTGGCTCCCTTTTTCATCCTTCAGCACATGACAAAAACCCACAGAGTATTTCTATTTAAGTCATTCTCACAAGCTCTGTTAAAGTTATATCCTCAGGTCTGTGTTGACCATGTAAGTTTGACTTCAAGAAAAGTGAAGCGTTATTTTTTGGGGTTCTTCAGTTAACCTGCTGATTTGGATTTTTAAGTACCAATTTCAATTTGCTAATGTCTTCATCCAATCTTACTGACTCTTCCAACAGTCACTAACCAAAAAATAATTGCATTCTACCATATCTCTTCCCATCTCCTCTTCTAGCGGAGGGGATTGTGTGTACAGCTGCAAACGGTACAGACAGAGGAAACTATCACTGAGTAGGAGTAGGAATTATTTTATCTTACAATAGCTACTCTTCATCATGCCTCAAAGTTTCATCTTTCTTTCCAAGTCCCATTACGACAGAAGGATGACAGCAGGAAATGTTCAGAACTATCATTTTAGTTCCCCTGCAGATAGCCCGTGCTCCTTCTGTGTTCCCGCGGGAATGGTCTTACCCAGTCTAACATTTTTTGGGGAGGATTTAACAGTTACAGCTGCTTAAGATACACAAAGCAGATGTAACAGTCAAGAGCTTTTCAGCATGACTTATTTTTGAAGGGATCTGTGCAATCATTTCAGCACCTCTGAAACTTTGTACAGTTCTTTTCATTTAGCAATTGCACTAAGGAAGGAAAACAAACCAACCACCAATATGTAGCTATTATGCACTTCCCGCCTTTTAATATGGTCAGTAACTTTCCAAGAACGAGCCAGGGCCTGTTGCCTTAATTTCTATTAGAATCTAAAATCACTTGTAAAACACTAACAAAATATCAATTTATTGCATTTTTTGCTGAGTTCTTTTTTCTTATATATATTAACATTGCACATATTTTGACTAATTTTTGCCAGATATATATGTTGTGGGACTTGGTTTCTGACCTAAGAAGGAAATACAAATGAAAATTGAAAGTAATTATCTTATGTAGAAACTAAAAGTCCTCATTCCCACCTCAGGTAAGGCAATCTGTAGAATTCAGCTTAAAATGGAAAATAACGTCCCTCACATGCAAACTGTATTGGGGGCTACTGATATATTAGGCTGCGAATACCAAATCTATCATACTGGTTGAGCCTTTAAATCATCCCAGAAATTTCCCCATTCAAAAGGTTCATGTTTCATCACATCCACGGCTATGAAAGATAACAATGCCACAGTGTCACATTCAAAATTTCTATTTCCTCTCTCGATACCTACGTGGCTTCTCAAGCACCCGCACTGCTTAAAGCTAGAGTTACCACTCCGGACACTTATGGAGCACAGATGTTCTGTATGTGAAGTCAACCACTCTTCTGTATTTTCTTATTTTTCAGGTTTAATTTAAATTTGACAGTTTTGACTGTTGTATCACAATATTAGAAAAGAAACTCAATAGCGTAGATTTAGGGAAGCTTTATTATTAGCTTGTAAAAATAATCGTTGACATAAGGATTCTACCTAGAAAGGCCTCATGATTGGCAGTCACATACTTCCTTAGAGGCATTTCACCCTTCCTATATGTACTTCTTGGCCAGTAAATGATGGAAACATATATGTCCTTAATGCCAAAGTATATTCCAGTTACTGGAGAGAGTAATAAGTGGGATAAACCATACAAAGTATTCATATTACACAGAAAACTTTCCAGGTCCTCCTCCCCCTCTCTCAGATACTCTTAGCACTCACAAGTATCTGTAAACGTTTAAGAGAGACAGAAATAAAATGTTTCAGTATCCCAGTACTCAACTTTCGCAGATTAGTTCTCCTAATTATCTCAGGTATCTCAATATTAGGCAGAAAGACAAAAAAAGCAAACCCCTTCCAGATACAACATAATCTAAAGGACAGAAAAATGTGTCATATCTTCCAAGAGCAGAAACACTTTGTTTTACTTCTCTCTTACTACAGCCTATCCTCACAGGTTCTACAAATTTCCACATTATAGCAGCTTTTGTCCTACAAAATCCATTCTGATTTGCACTAAGCACTTCACTGAATGCAAAATCACTCCATTCTGTTTGTTCAGTATTGGTTTTTACCTCAAAAACTTCTTCATCCAGAATCCTGGTTCCAAAGACAGTGATGCCATTGGTGTCAACAACCGTTTTGTCACTTCTTTCGAGTGGTTTTGTAGTCTTCTTGTTACAGTCAACAATCATTGTGACACTTTTTTTCTCCACACTAACAGCTACTCGATGCCACCTATTGAAAAAAACAAACCACACCATAATTCCACTGTATTTATGTTTTAAAACCAGGCCATTGTGTTCTGATCAAGACAGTTTATTGTGGATTGTGCACCGACCAGTCACAGACAAAAGCTGAAATATCTCCATTTGTTTCCTTCCTTCACCTGTACGTACACAAGGGTTTGTCAATTCTCTCTATGAATTCTGTCCCTTAGTGCAAAGGAATCTGACCTATAGTTCGCTATAAATATCCCATACCAGATGAAGCTCGAGCTGACTTTCTCTGAAGCTTTACCCAGAGAGCATTAGCAGCACACTGCTTGGATTTTATTAGACTGAACGATCTGATGGTAGATTTTACTTCTACAAATGTGTTGGATTTTCCAAATCGCTTTAGGAATTACTTGTGCAAATAATTTCATCCAGCACCTTATTCTTTGTTATTTACTTTTTACTATTTCTGAACAATTACCAAAATTTTAGCATGTTCTTTTGTTGAACGTATCCCACAGCTATAGAGATTTTTCAAAGACGATTTTTCCAACAGAGACGCTTTTCCAGATACATACACTTACAGATGCTTGCCCATACTCCTGCAATAGCTTTGGCTACATAAATATTCACCAAAAGTTGCATGAAGTGGTTTGGAATACTGACAAATGACTTGATGTTAAACACATTTGAGAAGAAATTTTCGCCCGATTTGTCCAGCAACACTATTATCTTCAAGAGAGTTCACTATCACGACAGACCACGTTAATTTAATGGCTTTCTCTGCTATGACAGCTTCAATATCTAAGAACAAGAGCAGATCACTCTGTAACCTAACAAACATGCAGCAAAAGAGTAAATAGATAGATCAGGGCAAAAAGTGTCAAAATATGTCATATTAGTGACTGGTAAGAGGAAGGCTGGAATCTAGTCATCTCAGTTGGCATTTGTGGTACTAAGGTTGTCTAAATCAGAGAGGCAGCTTTAATCATAATTACAAAGTGCTTCTGCATATCAAAAGGAACATCTCAAAGCTCATGGAGCCTGACTGCTAAGCAGTATCACCGAGCCAGAACTCTTAATTCCGTGTTTTCTCTGGAACGTGGTTTAAGCATTATCATTGTGAAAGCAAACTCTCCGTGCATCCTCAGGCACATTAACACCATTTACACTTTTAAAATATATCTCATTTTGAGATGAAGATTGTTGTCCCAGATTCACCATGAAATAGCTGAGTCAGAAGAAAATTGTTGGTGCCTCTTTCGAAAGCGTGTAGAAGCTGAAAGTGTGAAATTGCAGCTCACTGCAGAGAGGATTGACTCCAGTCAATTTAGAAGTTGTGGAGTCTCACTGTGGAAAAGTGTACCACACCAAGTGCATTTTGAGTTCTTCATTTTTATCAGCTTTGTAACGTTTTGGGTGAAATTCTGAAATCCATGTCAAAGATTTATTATTTAAAGGACATCAACGAAAAAACATTTGCTGCTTTATCAGTCCGTCTGCCAGGGAAATGCATCAGGGATGAGTTTCATGGTACATTTCATTCTCTGGTAGTACAAGGGCTAGACAAAAATTACCTTTTTTTTTTTTTCTTTTTCCTTTATTGCTTTAAAAACATATTTCATTATAGTTGAATTTTTTTGCCTTTCTGTACTGATTTGTTTTCTTTTGCTTTAATAAAATTTAATTCTGTGTATCTCTGAAGACTTTGGCTGCTCTTCCTGGACTGCAGTACAATAAATAAAAAGCCTTTGAAGAATATGCATCCACTTACAAGCATGTGAATGAAATTCCCAGAGAAGGATTGCTTGTCTACAAAGGGAAGTTAGTTACCAAAACCTAAAAATTTCATTAATAACATAACAGATGTTTGAGATTAATTTGCCTTGACTGAGGGTGCAGTGTAAGTCCTTGCAGCCTTTCAGATTAATTGCCCAGTTTATTCTTCCCTGATCTCCTTGTCTATAGACATCTCAAGCCATATTATTTATCTGCTGTTTTGGTTCACGATAGAAGAAATTCCATGCTCTCTTGTCAACTTGTCTTCACTCCGCCTGTCCCCTTCAAATGGACAAGACGGCCCTTCGGATGAGAATATGCCTTGAGTTTTTGAAAACACAGTTTATTTCTATATTGCCCAGGAAGAATGTATATAGGTTGAGTTTCGGTGGGTTTAAGTGCTACTATTATTTTTTCACTCTTGATTTATTTAAATGGCAAATAAGAAAGGTGGTTTGGCTGTAGCTGTAGCTGCGTACACCACCTGAAGCTGGAAGTGCATTCCGCGCAAAGGTTCTCTGCTTTTGTACCACAGCAGTCCAGCTAGCTAGAAACTGTGTTACTAATTTATTTAAATGTTTAAGATAACTGTTTGTAAAGATCATATCACCTCTACAGTGGTCTGTGGTATTAGTTTTCATAAGGGAAGAGATGCCATCCAGAGGGACCTTGACAGGCTGGAGGAATGGGCCAGTGCAAACTGCAGGAGCTTCAACAAGTCTAAATGCAAGGTCCTGCACCTGGGTTGGGCCAATCCCAGGCAAAAACACAAACTGGGCACGGAGTGGGTTGAGAGTAGCCCTGAAGAGAAGGATTTGGGGGTGTTGATAGATGAGAAGCTCAACATGAGCCGGCAGTGCGCTCATGCAGCCCAGAAGGCCAACCACATCCTGGGATGTATCAAGAGAAGTGTGGTCAGCAGATCAAGAGAGGTGATTCTCCCTTTTGCTCTGCTCTTGTGCGACCCACCTCAAATACTGCTCCCGGTTCTGGTGCCCCCACCATAAGAGGGACGTGAATCTGTCAGAGCATCTTCAGAGGAGGCCACAAAGATGATCCAGGGGCTGGAGCAGCTCTGCTACGAGGACAGGCTGCGGGACCTGGGATTGTTCAGCCTGAGGAAGAAAAGACTCTGGGGGGACCTAATAGCTGCCTTCCAATACCTGAAGGGAACCTACAGGAAGGCTGGGGAGGGACTTTTTGCAAGTGTCTTCTGATAGAACAAGAGGAAATCGATTTAAGCTAAAAGAGAATAGATTTAAGTTAAAAGAGATTTAGATTGGTTCTTAGGAAAAAAGTCTTCAGTGCGAGGGTGGCAAGACACTGGAATAAATCGCCGGAGAGGCTGTGGCTGCCCCCTCCCTGGAGATGTTCAAGACCAGGTTGGATGAGCCTGGAGCAACCTGGGCTGGTTAAGGGTGTCCCTGCCCATGGCAGGGGTTGGGTTAGATGAGCTCTAAGGTCCTTTCCAACCCAAGACATTCTGTGATTCTATGATCTTAAAATTATACACTTACTTGCCATCAGCAATGTTGACTGTTCTGAAAAGTGGGTAGTCTTCCGGGGCAGGTTTTCCATTTTGATCTTCAAACAGGAAGACAGGGGATCTACCAACTTCAACACCCACTTGCTGAATTCCTTGCTCGTTGTAGATAGAAAGAAGGAAGGACTGGAGACCTTTTTTAGGTTTTACTGTCATTAATATTGAAAAATCTTCTGGAAAATCTCCACCTGTAAACAAAGTGATAAATATAGTTACAAACTCATAAAAGATAAAACCATTCTTTAAAGGCTGACATTTCTCTACAAGCACAGAGGATCCCACATACAAACTACTGGCGTTTTTTAGTTGTCAAAAATGAATACATAAAAAACTACACTAGGAAATGCTACCTCTTTTTTTTTTTCTTTCTGATGTCGCTTTAATTCCTGAAAGATATACCTCAATGGTTCTTAAAAATATGATTTGTAAATCCCTTGTGAATTTACGTAATCATACAACATATACAAAAAACATGATAGTTTCACATTCATTCTTTTTTCTATTTATCTTTTTAGCAATCTTTTAGAATTTAACAGGCACTACAATTTCACTCAATAAAATAAGTATCCATATTACAGCAAATATGGTTGCAGGCACTTCCTCTCCCTTGATAACCACTTGTTCTAGTTTCTCTCTCAAAATATGTATGTAAGTCCTTCTAGAATAATATTGTGCATAACAATAAACAAATACATGACTCATTTAATAGTAAAATCAAAATCAAAGAACATTTCATTTTAATTTATTCCCCAATGCTTTCTTGCTGAAGTAGAGATTAGATATCAACCACTGTTTCAACCCTTACAACTGAAAATAAACCAAATTAAAGGTGGATATAGCTTGACTATTACAGAAGGACTAATGTTTGTACTCAGTACTGCTCTCGTCAAATTTGGTGGTAAATCTGCATTTCACTTGAGGCGACAGGCTACTTTAACAAAAAAGGAAGCTTAAGACAAAAATTCAGAATACACATTGGATCCGTGTGGCCTCAGCTGCAATTTCACAGGCAAGAAACAGAGGGATTAGAATCTAATCATGTTGGCAATGAATGTAACTGCAACTTTGCGTGCATGAGTGGGTAAAATGTTCTGAGAAGCTTTAATAATATAATACAATAAGTTTTAATAACATAATGTATTACATTTTCGTGTTGAATAAAAGTATGCAAGACTTCAACATGAAAACCTGATGTAGGAATTCCTTCTTACAATGGAGAAAATATAAGATTGTTTCCAAGACAGGTCTTGTGGGAAAACTCGTTCTGGATTCCACAGAACCTTCCATAAAGACGAGGTAACGATAGCATTAACTCTTTCATTACGGCGTGAAAACAAAATGCATAAAATCACCTTCCTCTTTAAACGACATTCTACTCTTACAAAGCACAAAATGCCTAGTCTTACACTTAAGTGTACTGTCTGCTGCAATCTTGCTTTATGTGCTTTCTACCACCTTTTTTAACTTTTTTTTGTAGAAAGCTCTTGAAACTGTGAAGTAATATAGATCACTTTAGGGCTTGTTTTGACAACGTATTTTGAAGGGATTAAAGCTCAAAACCTAGGAAGCACTGCATTCAGTGTAGTGAGCCTTTAGTCAAGCTCTCTAATGGCAGAGCAAAGCTGCTCGTTTCACAGAATTACAGAACCATTTCAGCTGGAAGAGATCTTGAAGATCGTTGAGTCCAGCCTTTGTCCCAGCCCTACCAACCCACTAAACTATGTCCCCCAATGCAACATCCACCCGTCTCTTCAACCCCTCCACGGACGGTGACTCAACCCCCTCCCTGGGCAGGCGGACGGTGCCTCACCCCCCCCCCGGGCCAGCCTGTGCCAATGGCCGACAATCCTCTCAGTAGAGAAATTCTTCCTGATATCCAACCTGAACCTCCCCTGGTGCAATTTAAATCCATCTCCCCTCTCCACTGGGGGGAACAGACCAACTCCTGCCTTGCTACAACCTCCCTTCAGGTAGTTGGTGCAGAGAGTGATGAGGTCTCCCTTCAGTCTCCTCTTCTCTAGGCTGAACAGCCCCAGATCCCTCAGCCTTTCCTCACAAGATTTATGTTCTAAGCCCTTTCCCAGCTTGGCAGCCCAACTCTGTGCCCTCTCCAGCACCTCGATGTCCCTCTTGGAGAGAGGGGCCCAAAACTGGATGCGGTACTCAAGGTGCAGCCTCACCAAAGCCGAGCACAGGGGGCACGATCCCCTCCCTGCTCCTGCTCACTGCACTATTTCTGACCCAGCCAGGATGCCGCTGGCCTTCTTGTCCCCCTGGGCACTCTGCTGGCTCCTGTTCAGCCGGTGTCCACCAATACCCCAGGTCCCTCTGCCTGGCAGCTCCCCAGCCACTCCTCCTCAAGCCTGTAGCACTGCCGGGGGTTGTTGCGGCCCAAGGGCAGGACCTGGCATTTGGCCTCTGAATTTCATTGAGTTGGCCTTGGCCCAGCTGCAGAAACTGAAAGCATTAATAAGAAGGGTATGTAAATGTCAAAAGGCTATCAAAATTTAGATGTTAGCCATCAACATGAGGTACTTTTTTTTTCTGGCATTCCAGAATCATATGAGCAGTTACTGCTGCAACTGCCAGATGTCTTTATGCTATGATTTGATTCCTGAATAAGTGCATGTCAACCCCAGCTTTCAGACTTATGACTCTCAGGCTTTGATTTAGCTTTGATTAAAAAATATCAGTAATTTCAAAACAGTTTAATCTTCTGTCTGGTTGCATTTGAATGCTCATTTAAAGTTTTCCTTGCGCCATTCGGCTTCAACGACACACTGAGCACAACGCAGAATATAAAGGTGCTAACCTTTTGCACTGTGCAACTTCTGCATTTTTCAACACAGTGGACCATTTTTGCATTTTTTTAAATAAAGAGCAGCCCATATTCTGTGAACCTCACTTCGATGAAGCAATTAATATCAAATATCAGCAAGGCATTGTAGACTGTAATGTGCCATTCAGTGAACACTACTTCCAGCCAGATAGTTCTGTTAACTACATGCAACCTAGTTGAGAAGATACACAAAAAACTGACAAACTGTGTTAAATATAACATAAATATCACATCTGTAGTGAATTTTGCTTTTATCTTCTTCCATGAATTAAAAATATAAACTTATTGGTTAAGTGAACATGTAAGTTATGCTTGAACTGTGTATAGCTGCTTCCCATGTTGCTCTGCGAACGCATCATTACTACAAAATAATGCATGTTCCCTCCTTTTATAGATTTTGGATGACATCTATATGATTACTTCTTCAAAAGAAAAGAAGTATATTTCTTTGCCAACATCAAACCTGTATGTTTAGAGACAGACTTCTTCAAACTCTGCATGACGTATCAAAGTAGACAAATTAAACGTTCCAGGATTCTGGTTTTCAATATTCTTATTATAATTTCCTCTGACAGTTTGGGTCAAGTGACAAGTAACAGCAAAATAATGGAATAAAAGTCCCTCCTTAACAGCCAAAGAGTCTTTTCCAATATGTGATTATTTCATTTTAGCGAAATCGGAGAGGAGATGGCATCACATTACCTGCTATCCACAACTAGCCTTGTTTAGATCTCCAAATACCCAGGTAATTCTTAACAGATGGTACTTATGGGACTGATTTTGCAATGGCCAACCACAACTACTTCTACCACTGCAGCATTACTCCAGGAAGTATTGCTTTTAAATGGACTACTGAAACTGTAGGAAGCTTGCCAAAGTCACTAAATAAGCTTTCCATCATCGGGAAACAACAGGTAATACAACTTACAGGCCAATTCTATCAGTGGCAAAAAAATTTGATGAAGAGCTTTATAAGTGAAGCCAATAAAAACTAATTCATTCAGGGAATAAAGAGAGTGTCCCGCCATTTGTAGGCAGGTCCTGTTACTCTAAGGGTAACAGAAGGCTTTTGTGGTGCTGATGATGGAGTGCACAACGTGTTTTGGATACCATAAAAACGTAGGCAGTGAGGTAATTTAGCAAAGGAATAGCTTTCTGACCGTCTTACCTGGGTACAGCTGCTTTGTCGGGGCACTCAGCTGCGCTGCTTTGGAAACTCTGTAGGCAACATCCGACCCTTTCGAATCCCTTCTGTTTGTGCAAAATCCTGTTGTTCGTGATACTCCTTCTGGCGAATTGTGAAATTCTAATGCTTTTAGCACATCAACGGGTTCGGCTGACAAAACAACAAAAGCAAAGAAATAAACAAAAAGACACAAAAAAATAATTACTTGTCTTGCATCTCTACAGCATGCAGCCTCTAAAAAGGATATTGATTTCACTGCAAAAGTGTTTGTGTCATCAGAGCAGCAGCTGCACCCTCCTTTTGACTTCTTGCAGATCACTCCTACACCAGCATATTATTTTAAGAGGATTATTCATTCTTAAATATGTAAGAGTTCATGCCATCCAATGTAATTGGTATGATCAGACTTTCCAACTGTTTGACTGCGCACTGAAAATCTCTGTTTCTCAAACGTAGAGAATCTTGGTGATTGAAACTTAACAACACATCTTTTTGATGAGTGAGTTCTAAAAAGTGGAACCGACTTCGAAAGTTTGCACAGAAGTTTCAGGAGAATTCTGCTACTTATAATCTACTGTCAGAAACTTATATGTTGCTACTATTAAAACACATTCTGATTACATATTACTGCTTTCTCAGGCACAAAGTGCTGAGGAAGAAGCTAATCTCGTTTCTCATCTGGTTAGAGAAAGAAAAATCTACCTGCTATGCCTGCAAGGTGTGGGCTGAATCACAGTCTTTCATTATTTCCACGTTAAAACTCAGATGTACTTGTTTTCTCCTTTAGAGCCCAAGTACAATAAGGCTACATTTATGCTGTGTCTAACAATTTAAAGTTGAAATCCAGAGCTGCTACTGCACTGATACTTATAAAAAAATATTTTAGATAGATATATATAAAGTCAATTGCGGCAAAAAAGAAAAGCACTTCAACAGAGGCAATGAGAGAACATAGTTTGCCTGCTGTGTATCTTTTCTCTTAGAAAAATTTAAGGTGTTTGTCCTCATACTCCCTACAGGTCATGGCTTCCCTAATTCACTTTTGTAAGTGGAAACAGAATTTTAAACAAAAGACCATTTTATCAAATATAAACCAATAGCCAACAGTTGCTGAAAGGTAATACATATTCCACACAATTCTAAAATCACTACCACACTAAAGGAACTGCCACACTTTTTTCTGGTAACCAATGTTCATTTTTTTCAGTACCTCTAATAATTTGAAACAGTAGTGTAGAAGCAGTGACTGGAAATACCAGCCAAAATGCCAAGTTGGTGTGTAAGTCAATCACTGCTACATTCCTCTTTTCCTTTGCTCTTTTCTATAATTTTTAACAGATTCTTCATTATTTTTTAGAATAATGGCTGCTCTCTGTCTGGCTGACTGGAAGAGTATTCACCCAAAAACAAGATTATTCATTACTCCCTGCCAGTTCCGCTGCAAAGAGCCTTCCAGACAAGAAACAGAATAAGGATAGAAGTGAACAAACTTCAAACCCCAAATTCAAAATAATAAGAACAAACATTTTGTTAATAGTCCATAGACAACATTTATTTCTGCAAACTGTGATTCACAGTTTGTAAATAGTCAAAATGCTAGCCAGTTTACAAGGATTGCAAGAAATGAAACTTGTAGTAGAAAAGACAGAAACCTCTTCCCTAAATTATATAAAAGATTTCAGCCACCTTGACCAACAGTTAAAGAAGTACTTTAGAAGTCTTTTGACAAACCAGGCAGGAATGTTTTAATATGTCTCTTCACAAAAACTTACTTTTCATAGAAACCTGTGTATCTGTGAAATAAACACACTGAGCTTGTGCCTCTTCCCCATCAACCACAGAATCAGAGAATCACAGAATGTCTCAGGTGGGAAGGTATCTTAGAGATCATCTAACCCAACCCCTTGCCATGGGCAGGGACACGTCTCAACCAGCCCAGGTTGCTCCAGGCTCATCCAACCTGGCCTTGAACATCTCCAGGGAGGGGGCAGCCACAGCCTCTCTAGGCAATCCAGTCCAGAGTCTTGTCACCCTTGCACTGAACAATTTCTTCCTAAGATCCAATCTAAATCTATTCTGCTTCAACTTAAACCCATTTCCCCTTGTCCTATTGCTGGACACTCTTGTAAGAAGTCCCTCCCCAGCCTTCCTGTAGGTTCCCTTCAGGCACTGCAGGCAGGGATAAGGTTACCCTGGAGTCTTCACCAGCTGAACAATCCCAGCTCCCTCAGCCTGTCCTTGTAGCAGAGTTGCTCCAGCCCCTGGATCATCTTTGTGGCCTCCTCTGAACACGCTCCAACAGATCCATGTCCCTCTTATGGTGGGGGCACCAGAACTGGACACAGAATTCGAGGTGGGTCGCACAAGAGCAGAGCAAAGGGGGAGAATCACCTCTCTTGATCTGCTGACCACGCTTCTCTTGATACATCCTAGGATGTGGTTGGCCTTCTGGGCTGCATGAGCGCCCTGCCGGCTCATGTTGAGCTTCTCATGTATCAACACCCCCAAATCCTTCTCTTCAGGGCTGCTCTCACCCCACTCTGTGCCCAGTTTGTATTTGTATTTGTTTGTATTTGTGCCTAGGATTGGTCCAACCCAGGTGCAGGACCTTGCATTTTGACTTGTTGAAGCTCATGCAGTTTGCACTGGCCCATTTCTCAAGCCTGTCAAGGTCTCTCTGGATGGCATCTCTTCCCTCAAGTGAGTCCACAGCACCACACAGCTTGGTGTCGTCGGCAAACTTACTGAGGGTGCACTCAGTGCCATCGTCCATGTCGCTGACAAACATGTTGAACAGCACTGGACCCAGAACAGACCCCTGATGCACACCGCTTGTCACTGGTCTCCATGTGGACATTGTGCCATTGACCACAACTCTTTGAGTGCGACCATCCAGCCAGTTCTTTATCCACCGAGTGGTCCATCTGTCAAATCCGTGTCTCTCCATTTTAGAGACAAGGATGTCATGTGGGACAGTGTCAAACACCTTGCACAAGTCCAGGAAAATGACATCCACTGCTTTTCCCATGTCAACCAGCGCTGCAGCTTTGTTGTAGAAGGCCACTAAATTAGTCAGGCACAATTTGCAACATTTTCCCACATGTCGCTATTTAACCTGGGCTTGAGTCTCAGATTAGGATGCAACCAGTCCTACACTGCAGCTGGCAGGCAGCAGGCCTGGAAGTCTGGTCACAGCTGTTATCGCCGCCTCCCAGGTGAAGAGGGCTCACGGCGCACAGCACTTCTCCCCTGCTCTCCTCCTGTGAGTCCCACTGCAGAGCCCCAAGTTCACAATGGGGGGGCAGCTGAGCCTGTGGGGAGGAGAGGATGGGTCAGGTGACCCAAATGGACCAATCACAGAGCTCCTTCCCATGGTGCACAGTATAAAAGGGCCCCAAGAGGAGCCCTGGGGCTGTAGTGCTGAGGGTGTCATGGGCTGTGCTTCAGTTCTCCTGGGCTGCTTGGCTTCCCCCCTCCTGTTTTCTCACTGCTTGGTGGGATGAGTTGTCTTCCCCTGCCTCCCCAGGTGGGAGCGGTGCAGCCACTCCCCTTTTCCTGTTGTGTTTCTGTGGACTCTCCTCGGGGCTGGGGCTCTCCCATCTGCTGCAGAGTCCACTCGGGGACTCTTCTTCTCAGGGCCTAGTTGCCATCTGGTAGGTGTGGGTTCTGTATTGGCATATTTGTTTGTATATTTGGGTATATTTACATACTTATGCATATGTATGTACATAGCTCAACATCTTCATGGTTATTGTCAGTACTATTTCCTGTTTCATTAACCTGGTTGAGGGTTTTTTCCCAACCTCCAAGTCTCTCTCTCCCTTGTTATTCTCCGCTCGGAGGCTAGGTGGGGGTCATCAAGAGTTTAGTCAGAGTTTAGTGGTCAGCCCAGCTTTAAACCTTGACACCATGTCCTGCACAAGGCTACCATATATAGGGTGTTTCTGCAGAAATGCCCTCTTCTTACTAGTGGAAATTCTGTCTCAACAAATTTCAGGATTTTTTTACATTTTCTGGAACTCTGGCAACCTAGCTGGAACAAGTGTTCAGTGCTCCTGACCAGGCTACCCTAACATTAGTCTCAGAATTCTTGATGAGCTCGTTGTGTGTGTTCAGATGATTTGCTCAGTGCCTCTGCAGAAAGCACTAGATACATGCTCTCAATATGCCACACATATGTAGGAATCCCGTCGAAAAGAAAGAGCTCTTAAAAAACAGTGGCATTTAGATCCTAACTGGTTAGAGGCAACCTGTTTGAAGCATAAAGAATGACAAGAAGTCTAACTGCCACCACTGGCCTGCTTAGAATATGAGGTTAGAAAGGCAGGAAGACAACTCCCAGAGGCAACGAAGAGCACAGTCTGGAATTCATCAGTTGAAATTATGGCTTCTGCAGATTCTGCAGTGTCACTGTATCCTGGGAGCTTCAGCTCTTCCTAAAAACTTTCTCTTCTCTAGTATTCTGCTCCTACATGATTTCTGGGAATAGCAGGAAATAGCCAGAAAGAGCACCAGTGCTAAGACCATGCGGTTTGCCTGTTTACGTGCTCTACAAATTAAGATTACAGTTTGTATTTATATGGGGCAATATTAATGTAACTCATGCATTTGGCAGATCTAGGGTCTCTCACCATACCTTCCTTACAGTGCATAAAGTAGCTTTTCTGAATGATTATACCTTTGAGTATTTTTGCATCTTTCCAATGTGGTGCCAAGATCTGAGGTATCAAGGAAATAACCAGCAAAAAAGCATCATGTAAACAGCTCTGTTCACCAGTTTGTGGCGTGCAGTTAAGTCTCTGTGTGAAACTTAAGACTTCAGCTTTTAAAACTCAACTCTCTTTGCCGTGGCAAATCTGATGAGATACAAGACCTGGACCCTCAAAGTGGGTTCCTTCATGCAGATGTTTACAGCCCAATGCCAGATAAAGCCGCAAAACAACCCTTTGAAAAGAAGCCTGTGTTCATCAGGGCATGCATGCCTCTTTCAAATGAAGCTTTCCTGAGTTTCAGACTGCAAGCAAAAACCAAGTTTCCACTGTGCTATATCTCTACTGAGAGAGAACCAACTGCAGAGGCTCATTATTCTCACTAAATATTACAGTGCAAAGTTCAATAGTGTATGTCCATGATTCAAAGAAGTTTGGAGA